GCTAACTGCAGGCGCGCTGGTCCAGCTACGGAGGCGGCTGCGGCTCCCTGCCAAGTCCCAGGGAGGCGGCGGACAGTGTTGACGTTTCGCGATATAGCCGCATGCAAAGACTAAATTGAATTTGGGACTGGCCGGTCTTGTTTAGATTCCAGGATGGTTGTTTAGTTTGCCGGAACAAAGAAAACAGCCATGTGTTTATTCTGCTTGAAATAGCAAGCCACTCCCCGGACCGGTCGGCGTGCGGACGGCTAACGCCACGGTAAACACCTCGGCGAGATATTCGCCCTGGACGCTGGTCAGCACACTCGCATTCCTGCCTTCCCGTCTTGCTTTCCCGTCTCTTCTTGCTGCCGGTGTGTCGCTTTTTCCGTATAAACTTTTTTCAAGCTCCCAATCCAGTTTTAATTTATGTCTTTTGCAAATAGAAAGAAATCCTACTGTGTGGCTTACAAGATAAATTATAAATAGTAAAATTGATAAGTAGTCTACCTTAGAGCTCTGAGAAAGTCCTAAAAATTTGAAAATTTTAGGGCTTGTAGTAAATTTTAAGTAGATTTGGAATATGCAAGCACTAAATAGATTTAATTATTTAAGAAAATGGATTTTGCTAATCATTGTTTCTGTACGAGTTCTGTTTTATAGAAAAAGGAGTTTTTCAGCATTTGTAGGAAATTTTATTTAAATTCAGAATATGTATATACACCTTTAAAGTACCTTGGCTTTGTGAGAAATTGTTTTTGCGCCATTGTTTTTCAGCTATTTTTGATGAAGCCTTAAACGTACCCTACATCTATTACAGTTCTGGTAGGACTACTATGGCCTATATTTTCTTATTCTATACCTTTTAGTTAGTTAATAACAGTAGTTTTGACAAACGAACATGTGTGAATAACGAAATTTTCATGAAAAGGAAAAAAGTCGAAAAAATGCCTATTTTTTACACATTTTCAAAGGCCTTTGAAACATAGTAAACACAGTCATAAAATTATGAAAATTTCAGCATTTGTAGAGAGTTTTATGTAGATTCAGAATATATACACCTTTGAAGACTTAGGTACCTTGGCTGTGTGAGAGAATTATCTTCTTGGATCCTTGTTTTTCAGCATTTTTTGATGAAGGTTAAGACGTCTCTCTATCTATTACTGGTTCCCGTACTATAGGACTACAATGGCCTATAGTTTCTTAGTCTGCACTTTTTAATTAGTAAATAACGGCAGCTTTAAAAAATCGCAGATTTAAACTCTCTTGTTTTTGAACGATTTTGGTGTTGATTAAAACAATGCATACATCTAGGAGCGTAATCGTAAGGCCAAAAAAGTCAGTATTGTCTTTTAATTAACCAATTAGAGCAGTTTTATGGAAATAGTGCTTTGTCAAAAATATATAATTTTGATGACTTAAAATAAAGATTTCGTTGACTTTTCTTCGTATTCATTAGGGAACAGAGAACGCTCTAAAACTCTGCATCATTGACTGCAGCAATTAGACAGAACCTTGTTATATGAGAATGAGCGCCGAAAAAAAGACGACCGAATAAGAAAAATCGACGCGAAGCGTAAAATCGTCTGTTTTGCCTTATTGCAGAGGCGTTTGCCGAGCAGATTTCGGATTTCATAAATTAAAACTGGATATTTCCGCTTGATAGATGTGTTCGATAAAGTTTTTCGCTTCCGTCTCTCGAAATTAAGATATTTGCGCTGCTGCTGCATAATTAGAAACGAGGCTAATTTTGCAACAGTCCTTGTTTTCGCCTCTCGTACTTTAATTAAGGACTTTTACAAATGCCAGGTGTCGCCAGTCCGGGCCCCTTTTTTCGCACCTCGTCCTTTTTCCTTCAACTGCAACGGTAAAATTAAAAAGCGGTTTCGGTTATAATTTTCTCAAAATTCGCCTGGCGGTGCCCAATAACTGTGCCAATTCTTTCCAACTAAAAGAAATGAGCGTTACTTTGAATGTGGTAGACTATGATTCAGTATTGAAATTAAAAAAATTTCGGACTTGTGTGCAGTCAAGCATGAGGTTGTCCACTGAGAATACCTGCATTGGTGCGTTTTATGAGTGGTTGCCATATTGTTGATTTCCATACTAACGCATTTGTGCGCCAGCCTGATGAGCATGCTCTCTTTCTCTTGACGATTATACAGGGCGGTCCGAATTGTATTCCGGAAACTTCGGCAGCATATTCTGCAGATAAAAAGAAGTAAAAAAGTTCGTATAAATGTATGTCCTAAAATGCTTAGTTTTGGAAATACAGGCTGTTGAAGTTTTAGATTATTTCGATTTTTCCAAATAATTTATGAAGTGATGTCAATATTTGGATGAAAATTGGTGCCTGGGAGACTTGTAGAGAGCGCCACCTACATATTTTTAACTGGTTTTAAGAGTAATCATTTTTCGTCTGTACCTGTATAAAACTACTGAGTAAAAAATATACATTCACGAAGTTTTTTACGTAAAAAATGTCTCTTGGTAAAAATCGCCACGACTAATGGTTCTCGAGATATTTGGAATCGAAATTATCAATACAATAGATTGACATAAATTAAACACGTTGACTAAATAGTTATTAGATTGAAATCATAAATTTGAAATGTTTTTGTGCCAAAAGTTCCTCAGAAACTGTTTTATCATCATGCGGTGGTTAATTTCTCCCTCCCATACAACCTAAATCTACAGGAATCTGAAATTTGTTGCGAGTCGCTTCAAGAACAGGATGGTAAGGCTGTGCTACGCTTGGCGAGGGACTGCCGTGCCTCCTAATACTCTCCATATTTTCTGTAAGAACTTCATCGCTCTATAAACGTTTGTGCTACCTGAAGCATTTCTATGAATTCTTGTTTCCATGTTAATATTGTCTCGCAATCCATGTTTAGACCTTTGTTGTTGTTGAATGTCGAAATTCCTCTTATTTAGGCAGTAGGAACAATAAAAAAGTTAAAGATCGAAAATAACACACCTCCCCTCGCCCTTGAGCCTTTTCCGTTTTATATTGGAGACATCTGGGCAAAACTCTTTCAATTAAGATGAAAAATCCAGTGCATTAGTCCGGATGGGAGTCGGGAGGGGTCTTCGCGGAGGAGGGGATAGGTAGGGGAAAGAACGGTTAAAATAAGGGTGGGGGTGAATGACGCGACGGGGAGAACCGCCGACTTGTGCAAGTGGGTGGTTTTAAAGAGTGGGAGACTCTCTATTTTCCAACAGCGCCTGATTAGAACGGACAAAGCCAGATAGACGACTATTTTTGCTCTGTTTTCCAGTCTGACAGCATTGGCGTTTATATTTCGACGTTTCCCACGTTTATATTTTATTGAGATTCTTTTTTTTCGTAAAAATGTCGAAATTTTCATAACCAAGCATAATTTAATAGGATGTGAGACGCATTTTGTTTGAAAAAATATTTTGGCTAGTTACAACATTCGTTTTGTTGATTAGGAGTATTTATGGTTCATTTCTGGTCAAATATTGAATTTATATAGATAAATAGTTTTGAATTTTACAGCTTGTTTTTGCATTTTTTGTCTTAATTCCTATCATAAGTATTTTTTGCACTTTTATCTGACTATTTTTGTTGTTTTCCAGTCTGTCAGAATTTGAGTTTATATTTCGACGTTTCCTACGGTTATATTTTATTGGAATTCTTTTTTTTTTTAAAATATTGAAATTTTCATAACTAAACATAATTTAATGCGATGGGATGCACATTTTGTTTGAAAACATTCTTTGGGCTAATTACATCATCTGTTTTGTTAATTAGGAATATTTGTGGTTCATTTATGGTCAAATCTTGAATATATATAAAATTAATATAAAGAGTTTTAAATTTTACAACTTGCTTTTTGCATTTTTTTCTGAATTTCTATAATAAGTATTTTTGCACTTTTATCTGACCTTTTTTGTTCTGTTTTCCAGTCTGCCAGTATCTGAGTTTATATTTCGACGTTTCAGACGTTTGTATTTTATTGAGAGTCTCAGAAATTTTCATAATTAAACATAATTTAACGGGATGTTATATGCATTTTGTTTGAGTTAGTTACTACATTCTTTTTGTTAATTAGGATTATCTATGGTTAATTTCTTGTCAAGTACTGAATAATATATATAAAGTTAATATAAATAGTTCTAAATATACTTTTCCTGACTTCTGTCATAAGCATTTTTGCAGTTTCATCTGACTATAGACATCAGATTATGCATTTGGCTGAACCCGAAGTAAAAAATCAAGAACAAACATAAAAGAAAGGCGAAGTTTTTAAGGAGAGCGAATATATTGGAAGGTTTTATTTTTCCATCGAGTGAATCCCCAATATACGAGGCAGCTGCAAAATTTCTGCATGGCCGAACGAAGTGTGTCAAGTCTTAATGCTACGAAAATATATGGAGGCGCGTATAGTGCCTCAGTTCTCTTTCCAAAAAGCCATCACCGACTAACACGAGATTCTCATCGATAAAAAAATTATTAATATAAGCGAAGATTTGGGCAATATTGCTTTTCTGTCTCGTCATTCACATTTTCATTCGCTTGACTTAACACGTTGTGCATATTGCATGTGTCACTAGAGTAATGGTATTTTTGTTTAATGAAAGGTAAAGAAATATTTTATAAATTTCAATATAAAATATCGAACAATCCTTACATATCAATATACTGTTTTTCTTCATCAAATAAAAATGATGCTACTTTGTGTTACGAAAGAAAACATTTTATTTTCATTAATATTGAAAATAAAGTGACCATTTTGTTGTCCTTAGAGTATATTTGCCCCCCGAGCTAAAAGAACAACGTATTTGGAGAGGACAAGAACGAATGTCCATAGAGAGATAATAAGTCAATTCTCTGGCCTTCAATAAATAAAAGTTTTTTTTGAGTTGGCGCTGAAGCTTTTCCTTTCAAAATAAACTCATACTAGTAAGTTTTGGTTTGTATTTTTAGAGAAAAAAAAAGAAATTATTATAATACGAAGACATAAATTGAAGATTAGTTGAGAAAGCAAGATTCTTACCTGTTCGACGTCGTCTTGGTGTAAACTATCGTTCGGTGTCGTGGCTGCTGAGGGTCTCTGTGACGTAGAAAGGTTGATAGCACCGCCTCCATCTAGCATATCCTGGTCCATAGTTCCATCATCCTGGAAAGAGAACAGACATTCTATTTGCCCGAATTTTATTGCACAACGAAAAGAAAAGAGTCCTGCTTGGCGGAGAATTTATTCGCTCAACCCGAAATTATAACGAAACATTGCTTTGGAATAATTTAGGGTAGCCAAGGGATCCGCGTCTCTATCTAGCCAAGGGAGAGCATTTTTAGAAATAACGCCTCATAAAATAATTATTTCGCCTTTAAGGGAGGCCAAAAGAAAGTTTATATTGCCGAGAAAATAATAACTAGGAGATTCGCTTTAGGTACGGAAACTTTATTTTTACTGTATTAAATCAGTTTAATCTATCGGAGAGGGCAAACTATCTTGATTGGCATTTTAAGGGAGCCGAGCAAATACATTGAAATGGAGGGATTGACATTTTTCTTTGTTTAGGATAAAAGCAGTGACATCCAATTCCTGAAACTTTAATAAGTAGTGGTTTGGTGTTGATTTAGGAAGTAGGGGAGTTATTTTTAATGACAGGTCAGATAATATTAGTCCTCTAAAGATTTCTAGATGATATTTCGATGAGTATAATAATTTAAAATTACCAGTTTTTTCAGTTGTTTAGAAAATTATAGTTATTTTTTATACAAGACGATTAATTTTCATTCGATTTCAATTGATTTCGGAAAACGATAATGCAATTTTATCGTCGTGTATAAAACAATATTTTTTTCCATAGCGAGTTACAGAAATTATTATTTCAAAGAATTTATTACGAGTAGAGAAAATATTGTGCTGGTCTGGCGTTGGTTTCTATGTAATTGGACAAATAAATAAAGCGGCCTCTTTAGTTGTCAGTCTTGAGTCAATATTTTTTAATTCTCTTTCGTGTCGATTGCTGATTGAATTGGAGCCAGAAATGGCTCAAAACGAAATAAGTAAATTACCAACAGATATTTAGGCTGAGGCGACAAACGCCATATCCAAACTAGGGTAAACCAACCAGTGAATGAATGGGACCCACTTAATGAACAAAATAACTTTATCTTGCTCTAATAAGGTATACGGCCATTAAACTGTATTTGTTGTCATTTTTTAATCTAATTTACACTGCGTAGTTTACGACTAACTTGCTAAAATACAACCAGTTAATAAACGACACGTGCAAATCGCTGTTCAAAGTTGTGCTCTGACGTTGTTAGTCTTTTAAGCGCCATTTTCTTTAGGGTAAGTAGATACATATCCTATTATTAATGATGCTATTTAATTGTTCATAAAATATAAAAGCTTGGCAGTGTGTGAGAATATATATTTCAACAATTCATCGTTATTAATCCAAAAGTAAAACATCTATTATCTTTTAGGTTATATTTTCATTTAATGTGTTTAATAACTGGCGGAAAAAAAGTTCAAATTCCAGTGAATGAACGGCTGTTTATTTACTGGTATTTTATTCGATTATCTGAAATTGCTTTAAAATGACCCTTAAGCTTAGTTTACATATGTAAATCCATTAAAATACCTTAAATGTAATAAAAATAAATGCCAGCCAGTAAATGAACAGGATTTTGAATCGTTTACTTACTGGATATTGTTCCTGTTCATTTACTAGATTAGGCATAAGACCTTTTTGCAAATGATTTCTGTCTATTATTATTAGGATAAGTGGGCACTAGTTTTTGTTTTGGAGGTTTAAATTTAGTATTATAGTTTTATTAAAAGTATTCGGCGGTTACTAAAAATAAATATTTTTTGTTGGTACAGATGGAGCGGAAATACACTAGATTCAAATATTCCAAAGAGCAGTTGTCACTGGGTATCAGAGCAGTAGAATCAGGCAGCATGAACTTAAGTGTGCCGCTAGGCGATAACTTCAACAAAATGGGTAGAATTTCATCAAGAACAAGATAAAATAAAGCGTCAAAAAGAGGAAGACATTAAAAAAAGAAAACTCGATAGAGAAAGAAAGCGAATGGAACAAGAACGAAAAAATAAGATCAGGCGACAGTATGAAATAAAGAGACCTAACAGAGACTTGAGTGAAAACCTGTCACTTTTTGAATTAAAGCTAAAACAAGAACAAGAAAGAAAAACATGCAAAAAACAAGAGAAAAAGTCAGAAAAGCGGAAGTGTGATAAAGATCAGAAAATCGGGCAGCAGTATACAAAATGGTTTAACAGAGATGATTCCTCAAGTACGGATGAAAATCTGTCACTATTTGAACTGAAACTACAAGGACAAAAAAAGAAAACATACGAAAAACAAGAAAAATGGTCAGATATGACGAAGCGTAATAATGCTCAAAAAATCGAAGAATCGGACGAAGAAGGAACTAAGAATAAAATTTCCCCTAAATTGTTATCAATAAGTTTAGAAAAATCAACATCAAATTTTGACTTAAGTGTTCCTTTTGTTAAAGGTGATTATGTCTCTAAACTATGAGGATTCACATTATCCTGTCCTAATAAAGGCTGTTAAAAATAATGAATATAAAGTAAGTGCTCTCCATAGTACATTTATTTATTTATCGTATGGCAAACACATGGTACAATAAAAGTAATATGTATACAAATATACACAAAAGAATATAGAAAAACATGTACAACACTCAAAATTATAAACAAAATATATACACTGACAGAGGTAAAGATAAAAAACATCCATAGTACAAAAAGAACACTTGGAAGTGGCCGTCACCACCTGATCAAATTGGTATTACTCGGATAAAATTGTGAAAAAAATTACTGTTCCAATACCTCATAGCGCTGAAGGGACTTTTGTTATTAATATGTAAATGCAGCATAGTGTTTTTTATATTATACTCTTACCTGATTATGTTTATTAAAAGTTTATGTTTATTTAAACTTGAATTTTTGTAAAGCTTAATTTAATAAATACAACGTTCATTAACTGGTCTTTATGTGTTTATTCACTGACTTCTATCGTTCATTTACTAGATATTTCGCTTATTCGCCGAAAATTGAAATTTGTGAAACCATATTGTTTTATTTTTGCGTCTAGGTAATATTTTCTTAATTTTTCAATTATAGATAGTTGCCTTTGTACCAATTTTACCCCATATTATATAAAATAAAAAATCGTGATTTATTTAAAGTTAATACTTCGGTTAACTGTTCATTCACTGGTCGATTGACCCTACTTCCATTTAAATCCCGAATAACTTACGAAAAGGAATACAAAAATTTTCAAAAATGGAAGCAATTAAAAAACGTGCGAGAAGAAATAAAGTTTTTAACCTATCCTCGTTGTTAAAGTATAATTTCGTCCTATTGCTGCCAAAAGTCACTAACTAACATTTTTCCGAACAACCAAATTCAATCACTAATAAAATTATATTTTCAATCGGAGAATCGATTGCAAAAGTCATTAACTACGATTTCTGGCTATTTATGTTTTATTTTAATACCGAATAGTTACTAACTATAACATCTTTATGCAATGCAATTCATCTTTAGACGCATTTTTCTCGGAAGTAATAAAAAGTAAGTTAGTGACTGTTGGCAGCAATGGGACGATTTAATCTACCCTTGTGGTTAAAGTACTATTTTATCTACTATTTTTGATAGCTATCAGGCAATTTTAATAGTTGCTATGGAAAAAAGTACATATATTTTTAAAATTCAATTAAAGGGGACTTCTAACAAAATTTAAAATAATGAAATGGAAATGAAAGCAAGATTGCCTGTTGTACATTGTCCTTGCGACTTATCTTGATACTGTTTCGCATGAGGGCAAAAAGGTGCCATTTTTCACAGCTCTTACAATGGAAGCCGTTTAGGGCGCTTGATTGCTGGCTTTTTCCTTTTTTCCAAGCCCATTCATACCGATGTCCATCGTGGAGCGAGAGGCGGTCATCTAAATAGTCATCGGACGTCTTATTTACATTTTCAAAAGGACGCAAAATGAGAGTCCACATCCACAGAACAGAATGAAGATTGATGTTGTTATCTCTTTATAATAAAGCCCTTTAGTTCAAAATTTAGGTATTATTTGAGGGGTTCAGCAGTGAACTGGATCAAGTCATAGAAGATAATTATGGAGAAAATGAGAGTTAAAGTTTTTTAATGTTACTTATTTAAAATAAAACAGTTATATTTTAAATTGTATAATTGCAAACTAAAGTAACTCAAAATACCGGTGTGGTCATTTTTATGAATGTTTGTTTATATTTTTTTGGACTTGAACCGTTTTATCTTTGAAAATATTTAAAATTTTAGATATAAATTCGTTCATCGGTACATTCTTCTTCGTCATTAAGAGATTTGTTGACTTCACATTGTCTATTAATAGTGTTTTCTTCGATTTTTATAAAAATTATGGTATATAGGCGGGCTATAAAGGGGGGAAGGTCTTTCATGTGTTGCCTTTTAGAATGTTTTACGTTACATCTGTATGAAATGATAACATATGTTATGTCATAGATATGTCAGATATCTTGTAAGTATTTGTAAGAAAATCAGCCAACTTATTGATGTAGTAATAGTGAAAATAATGATAATCAAACTATACTTTCAGAATCGATAGAATCAGACCTTTCAGATGGCTGATAATTTGATTCACTTGGTGTTCAGACTTTGTTTCATTGTCATCCTTTTATAAAAAAAAAGTGTTTTAGCTCTGAACTTTAGCACGTGTGTTAAAATCGCGCACAGCGTTAAATTTTATGGACTTGATCCATTTCACTTTTGAAAGGAATCAACAGAATATTTAGAAACCAAACAGAAACAGGCTATAACTCCCAAGTAGCATTTGGACGTTATCTAACGTCGGGTATACGTCGCGTTCAATAAACCCGACGTCGGGTACCAACGTCGGTTCGACCGCCTGACGACCCTTATTTGCACCTATATGGGGAATACAGATTCGGGTCGCCTCGACGTCGGTATCTGACCTAATAGGGAATATAATCCTACCAATTACCAACGTCATATTACGTTGGATTTTAGTCACTTAAAATTCGTCGCTAAGCACTTACGTTACGTTTAGTTTCATATTCCAAACTACCTAATTACAAATGGAT